TTTAACCCCTTATTAGCTGTATCATTGGCTAATATAGGGAGCTCCCTTTTCATTTTGTTGATGGTTTCTTTGCTGTTCAGAAGCTTTTTATTTAGAAATAGTCCCATTTGTTTAATTTTTCCTTTCTTTCCCTGCCCCTAGGAGATCTATCAGCAAACATATTGCTGTCTGAGATTTTGCTGCCTATGATTTCTTCTAGGATTTTTATGGTTTCATGACTTTCATTTAAATTTTTCATCCATTTTGAGGGTTTTTTTAAAAAAATCTTTATTGTTGAAAGTATTACATAGGTCCTCCCTTTTCCCCCATTAAGTTCTTCCAGCCAGCTCCCATCCACACCCCCAAGCCCTCACAACTGCATTGTCTGTGTCCACAGGTTATACATTTATGCATACAAGTTCATTGATTGATCTCTTTCCACCCACCCTCCCCCGCCTTCCCTCTGAGGTTCAACAGTCTGTTCATGCTTCTATGTCTCTGGGTCTATTTTTGACCATCAGTTTACTTGGTTCATTAGATTCCACATATGAATGAGATCATGTGATACTTATCTTTTTCTGACTGGCTTATTTGGCTCAGCATAATGCTCTCTAGGTCCATCCATGTTGTTGCAAATGGCAAGAGTTCTTTTGTTTTTATTGCCACGTACTATTCCATTGTGTAAATGTACCAGTTTTTTATACACTCATCTGCTGATGGGCACGTAGGCTATTCCCAAATCTTAGTTATTGTAAATTACAGTGCTATGAACATAGGGGTGCATATATTCTTTCTGATGAGTGTTTCGGGGTTCTTAGCATATATTACTAGAAGTGGGATCACTGGGTCAAATGGGAGTTGAATTTTTAATTTTTTGAGGAAACTCCATACTGTTTTCCACAGTGGCTGCACCAGTCTGCATTCCTACCAGCAGTGTACTAGAGTTCCCTTTTCTCCACAACCTCACCAACACTTGTCTTTTGTTGATTTGTTGATGATAGCCATTCTGATAAGTGTGAGGTAATATCTCATGGTCATTTTGATCTGCATGTCTTGGATGATTAGTGACTGAACATTTTTTCATTATGTCTCTTGGCTTTCTGTATGTTCACTTTGGAAAAGTTTCTATTTAGGTCATTTGCCCATATTCTAATTGGATTGTTTGTCTTCCTTTTATTAAGTTGTATGAGTTCCCTATATATTTTGGAAATTAACCCCTTATTGGATGTATCATTAGAAAATATGTTCTCCCATGTAGTGGGCTCTCTTGTTATTTTGTTGATGGCTTCTTTTGCAGTGCAGAAGCTTTTTATTTTAATGTAGTCCCATTTATTTATTTTCTCCTTAGTTGCCATCATTCTAGGGGATGTATTGGTAAACATATTGCTACGAGAGATGTCTGAGCTTTTGGTGCCTATAGTTTCTTCTAAGATTTTTATGGTTTCTCATCTTACATTGAAGTCTTTTATCCATTTTGAGTTTATTCTTTTGTATGGTATAAGTTGGTGGTCTAGTTTCATTTTTTTGCATGTACCTGTCCAATTTTCCCAACACCACTTATTAAAGAGACTGACTCCACTCCAATATATGCTCTTGCCTGTTTTGTCAAATATTAATTGAGCATAGTGGCTTGGGTGGATTTCTGGGTTCTCTATTCTGTTCCATTGACCTATATGCCTGTTCTTGTGACTGTTTTGAGCATAGCGGCTTTGCAGTATAACTTGATATCTGGTATTGTGATTCCTTCAATTTGTTCTTCTTTCACAAGATTGCTGCAGCTGTTCAGGGTCTCTTTTGGTTTTATATAAATTTTTGGAGTGTTTGTTCTAGGTCTGTGAAAAATGCCGTTGGTATTTTAATAGGGATTGCATTGAATCTGTAGATTGCTTTGGGTAGTATGGACATTTTAATGATGTTGATTCTACCAATCCATGGACATGATATATTCTTCCACTTGTTTATATCTTCCTCTATCTCTTTTATCAAGGTCCTGTAATTTTCAGAGTACAGGTCTTTTATCTCTTTGGTTAAGTTTATTGCTAAGTATCTTAATTTTTTGTTGCAATGGTAAATGGGATTGCTTTTCATTTTAGTTTCTCTTTCTGAGAGTTCACTATTGGTGCATAAAAATGCTATGGATTTTTGAGTGTTAATTTTGTATCCTGCTATGTTTCTGAATTTATTTATTAAATCTAGTAGTTTTGATGTAGTCTTTAGAGTTTTCTTTGTACAATATCATGTCATCTGTGAATAAAGAGACTTTTACTTCTTCTTTTCCATTTTGGGTGCCTTTTATTTTTCTTCTTGTCTGATTGCTATGGCCAAGACTTCTAGTTCTGTGTTGAGAAAGAGTGGTGAAAGTGGTCATCCCTGTATTACTCTTGTTCTTAAGGGAAATAGTTTTAGTTTTTGTCCATTGAGTATGATGTGGTAGATTTGTCATGCATGGCCTTTATTATGTTGAGGTATGATCTCTCTATTCCCACTTTGCTGAGAATTTTTATCAAAAAAGGTTGTTGGATTTTGTCGAATGCTTTTTCTGTATCAATTGTTATGATCATGTGATTTTTGTCTTGCAATCTGTTTATGTGCTGTATCACATTTATTTATTTGTGAATATTGTACCAGCCTTGCATCCCCAGAATAAATCCCAGTTGGTCATGCATGATGTACGATCTTTTTAATGTATTGCTAGATCAAATTTGCTAAAATTTTGTTGAGGATTTTAGCATCTATGCTCATCAGGGATATTGGCCTGTTATTTGTCATATCTTTATCTGGTTTTGGAATTAGGTAATTCTGGGCTCATAAAAAGAGAATGGAAGTGTTCTTTCCTCTTGAATTTTTTGAAATAGTTTGAGGAGAATAGGTGTTGGTGCTTCTTTGAATATTTGGTAGAACTCCCCTGTGAACTGAGTACATAAATTAAGGGACATCTTTGGTAGGAAACACACTACTAGCCTATTAATTCTGGTGCTTGATGAAAGAATGTGTCTTTGTATTCTAAAATTTAAAACACAATATGACAAGACAGCACCTGCCACCCCAAATTACAATGTGTCTCCATTAATAAACACCATTTGTGATGCTGCTGGAAGAAATTCAAGAAATATGAAAGCCCAGAAGAAGAAGAGGTTTACATTTTAGAAATGATCCTACAGCTTTTCTGCTCAGAAGACCATTATGTCTTCAGCAAAGGCAATGACACAGAGGATAAATGATCTCACTTTTGTGGAAAACACACATCTTCCCTTCAAATGTGGTAATTTTAATGTTTATTTTTTCTAGACAACTACATAATAAATCTGTCTTGTTTCCATCTCATATTCCAGTATTATAAATATGACGTTTTCACAAATAGACATTCATAAAAGTCAGCAAAGCATTGCTTAGAAATTCATGCATTTACAATACCTGCGACTGTTTGTGACTACATAGTGTCGCACCAAGAAAAACTCTGTTTCAAAGTTAAAATCTGAATCCCTTTTTATAGCCTGACACAGTACAAATGTATGCTGCTGGTCACAAAGGGAGGCTAGATGAGAAATGATGGAAAAATATCTCAGGTAACCAGGCTGATTAAGAGGGAATTCTAATGATATTAGAAAATAAAGGGCACACCACACAAACTATGTGACATTCAAAGGTTTACTAGAGTAACTATAAAACTTCTTGAATGTCCTATAAGGAAGCAGGAGCATTTACTGCTGTGAATTTAGCTTTTTTAAAAAGTGTAACTTTTATCCCAATTGTACTCATCCAATGGAACTTGTTCATCTTAGGTGCATCCTGGATATGTTCATGGCAGTTGACTCAAATGGCCCTTCGGGGATTTAAGTAGCATTTCCCCAATTACATTAATCTTTGGTGAAAATGAAAATATTTGCATTTTCTATGCAAGATACTGTAGTTCTTGGTGAAATTATATAAAACTTCTCTTCCTTCCTACCTTGTTAAGACTGGTTTGAATGGGGGGAGGTTGAAGGGAGACAGGTAAGCAGAAGAAAACTAGGTCAACTTTGCTTCTCACCACATCTTCATTATTAATTCAACTACAGATGCTCTTTCCCTCCTCTCTGTTCCACAGACAGCCAGCACCATGAGCCAATGCCACCCCCTCACGGCCTCCTGCTCCCATCAGGCCAACCAAGTGAATAAACCCAGGGAAACAGAAGGAAGGTCTTTTAGGACAAGCTGCATTCACTATCTAGAAGTAGCATTGAAATGTGCAAATTGTTTTCTCAAGGAATAGATGCAGAGAGGAAACCTTCATTGTTAAAATTCTGCCCCATTGCTGATCATAGTATTAAATATGGTATTGTTGCATCCTTTAAGCTTTCTACTGTAGTTGTTACCCTGTCTGCTCTCATGGATCTTGGGTCAAAATACACCAAAAATACAATAAATCACCAGGCATAGCTGTTTATTCCTGTCTATGCCTCATACTTATTGTGTAACATTTAACATATTGATAACCTGCTAAGTACTTGTGTCTTCATCTCAAAGTGCAATTAACAAGTCCACCCTTTTACCTTTCTCCAAGGATGTGGTAAGGCTGAATACTTTTTCTAAGCTATTTCATAAAACAAATTGAAGAGAAAAAATTTCTGAGATAAGAGTAAGAAAATACTCAATGAAATCAGAATGGTGATGTATTTGAGGCTTGTATGCAGATAGACTGTGGAAAAGTAAGGTGAAATGCCTCAAATTTGCCAAATTGAAACAGTAAGTTAAAGAATGTTAATTCTTAATAAAAGGAATAAAAAGCCATGAAACATCCAATTTGATGATGATTAGCCTAACAGAGTCTATTATTGGTTAACAGGGAAGGGAGGAGATGTAGTCCTAGTTGAATAGTCTGAAGTCCTCTCTTTCTGAATGTTCAGACTGAGTCCTCTGTAGGAGTGAGTGCAGCTACTTCCAGGGACTCTGGGCTGGGTGCAGCCCCTGGGGACCGGGCACAGCCCTTGGGCACTCTGCACTCTGACTGCAGCTTTCCTTCTGTGTCTGTTCCCTGGCAGAGCTCTCAGCATGGCGGTTCCTCTACTTCACTTGCGTCGACCAAAGTATGCAGCTCGATGGATGAGAATGATGGATCCGGAGAAGGTGGTGAGCTTGGGACTTGGTGTCTGAGGAAAAGGCTCAGCTTGGACAGGGGGCAGAGGATAGGTTGGCTAAATTTACTCCAGAAACTGTAACTTCTCAAGCAGAATAAAATGGGCAAGCCTGAAGCAGCTCCTAAGGGTCAATAGCAAGGGGATAGAATTGAGTATGACTCCCACTTGGGATCATATCTACTCTGTGGGAACAGGAAGAGGAAATCAACCTAATTTGGAATGTTTCATGTCCTCTGAGTCTGTAAGTATCCTAAGAAGGCCAGCTTTGGAAATAAATGGGGGTAATTTCTGCTTTTGTTTTTCTGAATTCTTTTCAATTTTAATATACTCTATCTTTGTTAAAAATTAATATTTATTGTTGAAAGTATTACAGATATCCCCTTTTAGATCCCATTGACCCCCTTAACCCACCACTCTCCCCCCAACCAGGTCTACTATACTATTGTCTATGTCCATGGGCTATGCATATATGCATAATAAGTTATTTGGTTAACCTCTTTCCACCCTTAACCCTGGCCCCTCTTCTCTTTGAGATTCATCAGTCTGTTCCATGTTTCCATGCCTCTGGATCTATTTTGTTTGTCAGGTCATGGTGTTCATTAGATTCCACAGCCCCTGGGGACTAGGCACTCTGCACTCACTTATCATATAAGTGAGATTGGATGATACTTGCCTTCCTTTGACTGGCTTATTTCACTTAACATAATATTCTTCAGGTCCCTCCATTTTGTCTCAAAGGGTAAGAGATCCTTCTTTTTTTACAGTATACTCTCTTGATTGACTGTTATAGCCCTGCTTACAAAAAGAATTAATTGATGATAATTGCAAAAATACTCTTCGTGCCTTGACCTAATTCACTTTAGAATTTTTCTGTGATGTGGTCAAGTGACCTGGATCCAGAACTGACCTTTTCACTAATTCACTGGATTGTTTTAGGTAAGCTTTTTTAACTCTCCATATCTTAGTTCCTCCTCTGTAAAATGAAGATTATAATACACTCCTTCCTAGGGTTAACAGGCTCAAATCAATTATGGGAAGGTATTCAGAAAAGTATGAAACTGATATGATCAAATTACTGTTAAAGAATAAACCCCCTTTATTTGTTTATTTGTATTTTTATTTATTTGTTACATGTATATATTTTTTATTATTTTTTTTACTGGGAATATATTCTAAGAATCCTGAAATGCCAATCAGAAAGAATATATGCACTCTTTTTTTTAAGATGTATTTTATTGATTTTTTACAGAGAGGAAGGGAGAGAGGAAGAGAGTTAGAAACATCGATGAGAGAGAAAGATCGATCAGCTGCCTCCTGCACATCTCCTACTGGGGATGTGTCCGCAACCAAAGTACATGCCCTTTACCGAAATCAAACCTGGGATCCTTCAGTCCGCAGGCCAATGCTCCATCCACTGAGCCAAACCTGTTTCAGCAGTAAGAATATATGCACTCTTATGTTCATAACAATAGTGTTTACAATATCTAAGATCTGGAAACAGCCCAAGTGCCCATCATGAGTGGATTAAAAAAGCTGTTGTACATTTACACAATGGAATACTATGCAACTGTAAAAGAGAAGGATCTATTACTCTTTGAGGCAGCATGGAGGGACCTGGAGAGTATTATGCTAAGTGAAATAACCTGGTAAGAGAAAGACAAGTATCACATAATCTCACTTATATGTGAAATCTAATGAACAAAATAAACTGATGAATAAAATAGAACCAGAGGCATTGAAACATGGAACAGACTGACAAATCTCAGGGGGAAGGAAATTAGGGGGAGGGAGAGCAGGAAGAAATTAACCAAAGAACTTATATACATATAAGCATTGTCCATGGACACAGATAATAGGGTAGTGAAGGTCTGTGGTGGGACAGGAGCCAGGTGGAGGGAAGCTAAAGGAGGAAAATAAGGGATATCTCTAATATTATAAACAATAAAAATAAACTTAAAAATAAAATAAAATTCATGAACTCTTATTTGTTTTAAATTATATTACTTAATTTTCCCAAAAGAGTAACTTTGGGCAGTAGCGGGTGGGGGCATTTTAATTATATTAAGTGAGATAGCAGGTTTACACAAGAATTATTTCTCAACTACCATGAATATCAGACTTTTTTCCCCAGAAGTATGAAATTTAGCCATTCAGAAGTCTCTTTTGTTCCAATGTGTTATATTTACTTAAAGGTCCTTGCCTAAGCCTTTGGCGAAGTCTTCTTAGCCAAAAGACTAACAGATACATTTTACCAATAGTCAGGGGGAAAATATTCTAAACTTTGTGCTCCAGATAGGTGCCTAAGTGATGCTCCCACTAAGGGAAGGACAGAAGTACCTTGGATTCCCCATCCAACAACCAAGGATATTTACTTTTATTACTCGTGTAGTAAAGAGCCTTAAAACCATGTCATCTGAGGGATGTTTTGTAAATTAAGATACTTTGTAGTGGATTTGAAACTTCTCCAACCATCTCCTCTAATTCCTATGGAGTAGATTAAAAACAAAACAAAGCAAAGCAAAACAAAAACAAACAAACAAACAAACAAACACCAACACCCAGGCTGAGTCTTTTAAACAAAGACAAAATTGTTGACTTCTTTGTGGGTGATATGATAGGTGTGAGGGGTTTAACTGGCTCTGGCTTTCACTTTATTCTAGAAGCCACTGTGATAGCTTCTAGTGGATTGAGTAAAATGTCACTTATAAAGAGGTGAAGAGACTGCAGAAATAAATGTGTAGGATAGAAGTAGTAGAAGCACATGTCCTCCATTTGTACAACATTCTCCAGAAATTCCATCTACCCTAGAATCCAGGGTAGTGCAGATTGAGTTTACCACAAAACCAGAATCAAGGTCTAATAATTTTGAGTTTCCATTTGTTGTTCCCTAACATTACAGATTAAGTGAGAACATAAAACTCAAGAAAGCCCATTTACCACCTAATGTTTTAATTTTATTTTAAGAAGAAATGTTTAGCCTCAGTTTAAATAGGAGCACATTTAGAAAGCACACTAGGCTTCCATCACATTTTGTATTCAGGTTGCCTGAGGGGAGCTTGGATTTATAACTTTAAAGCATGTAAATTTTAGAGCCCAATTATAAAAGACTTTTTACACCCCTAAGATATTAAAGGTTATCCAGCATATTTATGTGACCTAAGTGTGGCTTATTTAGTTTTATGGCCTTAGATATTTAAAGCATTATTAGGCATTTGTAAAATATTTCAAAATACATTTTAAGAGGGAAAATGTGTTGTGTTAGTGCCACTAACATAATTGAAACTACAAAACTTTTCTGTTCACAGATGTAATAGGTATTGCGATTTTAATTCAACATCTGCTATGCAGGTTGCTGGTGAGAACTATGTCTAAAATCTGCTCACTGATATGGTGGAGGGGTGGCAATCAGGGCTGAGTTCATATGGAATTTTACGGAGATCTCCACTTCAGGATGTAGTAATAATAAGTGTGCACATAGAAGGCATTTTCATGTACAATGTCAGGCAGCCCAGAGTCCCTTATGAACCAACTGCATTTTCCTCTTCAGCCATACTTAGAAAGGTAATTTCTCTGCACACAGTGGGTATGCAGTCAATGCTATTGATCAAATTGACATAAAATAAAAAGAGTAAAATTTCCTCTTCAGGAGCCCAACTGCAGCAGAAAGCATAAGTTGCTCTTACATATGTGAGAGTGGACCTCATACATTTATGTTTCCTTTTTGTTTACCTTTTGTAAACTTAGTTTGTAAACTTAGTAAAGCTGTTGACTATACAATGTCAGCAGAGGGGGCTGCCCTCACAGTCCAAAAAATGACCTATTGATTCTGAATCAGTTTCAGTCTATTAGATGATACTTCTAAATGTCTCCTTTGTGCAACATCTGTGTTCTCTTTTCTACCAATAAAAACATACTAATGATTCTTTCAGAAATGTCGGAGGAAGGCTTCCAGATTCCAGCCACAATAACGGAACGATATAAAGTTGGAAGGACAATAGGAGATGGAAACTTTGCTGTTGTCAAGGAATGTGTAGAAAGGTGAGGAAGAGATCATTTGCATCCAACTTTAAAGGAAACATTTGGCCTTGTGTTTTCCAAAATTGTGCCTTTATTTGCAGTCTGTAGCACATATGGACTTGGTTAATGCTTCAACTTCAGATGTAAAAAAAAAAAAATTAAAGAAAGAAAGCCCATCTAACAACAGATTTGAGAAGTGTAGTGATTCCTGGAGATAATCTATAAATTAAGGACTTTTATTTTTCTTTTTAATATACTCAGCAAAACTTTGCCAGGTTTTTCAGGTAAGTCCTGAAAATATATTAAATATATATACATATTGAATAGTTTTTCTACACTTTTTTAAATCCTCACCTGAGGATATGCCTTATTGACTTTTTAGAGAGATAGGAAGGGAGAAAATTCAAGAGAGAGAAAGAAACATCAACGTGAGAGAGAAATATCCATCAGTTGCCTCCTGTACATACCCCTAAAGGAAATCAAACCCACAACCTTTTGGTATATGGGATGACACTCCAACCAACTGAGCCACCTGGCCAGGGTTACACTTTTTTTTTGAAACATTTTATAGAGGTCAGTTGTTCTTCTAAGTATATTGTAGAATCATAAAATTAAATATAATAACCTTGTAAAGCTTTAAAATATATATGTACTGATCCCAGCAAAATGGTATTTAGTGAATTAAAATGTTTTATAGCAAATGAGCCAGGTACTCTTGTGAGCAAAGGGAAAAGTTTAGGGTGAAAGATTTATTTGTGGGATCTCAATACCTAATCAAGGACAGTAGTTGGTGGCTACTAGATGGGGAAGTGACAACTAATAAAGCTATAGCCCAATCAAGGTGGCCTCAAACTCTAAGCTCAGCATGAGATTGGAATTTGTTGCTTACTTGAAGCCAGCAGCTTCTTTTCAGAGCTGGGTGAGTTGAGTGTTGAAATGTCAGGGGGAATTGCCTTATTCCTAGAGACAGCAAGTCCTCTGGCTTCCTTGGGGCTCACCTGGGTGTGCAGGCTTCCCCTGTTATTCATCTCTCCCCCTCCCCCCTCCCCCCCCCTTGGGGCTGGACACCCAACTAGTTCTTCAGCACTGTGTGAGAACAATGCTCGTTCATGCTACACTCCCTTTCAGAGAGAAGGCCTTGGACTAGAAGCTTTAGCCTATAAGAGCCAGAACTTGGTCTTCTTCCATGGGCTCTGACTTAGAAGCTCATTAAAGCTGAAAGTCTCCGCAGGGCCTCATACACCAGGAGCATCCTTAATTTGAGTAATAGCCACTGATTTTATCTGTGAAACCTTTGCTATTCTTTGGAAAATGCTTCTTTGACTAAGGCAGTGGTGCCCTCATGAAGCTACCCTCCAACAGTGGATCTTAAACTTTGTTCCACTCTACACACCAACTGGGCCAAGATTTTTCCAACAGTTACAGCACACACTAGAGCAGCCACTCTTTGCGAGGGAGGACATGAATAATAATTAGTAGCTTAGAAAATCCCTGAGTTGCTACTGCAAGGTCACTTTTTCTCCTTTTTTTTCTCTTATTCCCCCATCCTCAACATAAAGCCATTGTTGGGTTTCTGCCAAATATAGAAAATGTCCCATTACTTTCCTGGGCCCCACACATTAAAAAATACCAGGAGTAACCACTGTTTATTGAACAAAAACCATGTACAAGGCCCTTAACTTATGATATTTCATTTAATTATCATAATTTCACAGTATCAGTATTGTTTCTATTTTATACAAAGAAAGCCTGGAGAAGTTATATGCCCAAGATCACTTATCTAGTAAGTACTTAGCAAGGCATAAATCTGAACCCAGCTCTGAAACCCCTACTTTTGACCACTCTACTCCACTGCTTCCATCCAGGGGGCTCCCACAAGAATATGGTTTAGCTGAGCCAAAGTCATACATACTACATTTGTCCTATGCAAAAAGGACAGAAATCAAATCTGGTGAGCCATTCGTAAGGTAATGGGTGGATGTGCGTGTGCTTAATAATTTAATGTATACTTTTACTAATTATAAAATTCTTATTTCCATTGTAGCAGAAAATCCCATTGTTAGCAGATTGCCATACCCTTCAACTATGGAGTGTCTGGTTATTTGCCAGGGTTCATCATTTGTTGTGGCCATGTGTTTTTTGTCCTAGCTGGTACATGGATCAGGATGGCATCTTAGTTTAACAGTACTGGTCTTCCCACAGTAGAAATTTCTCATTTTTCCATCTAGAATTCATTTATTTCTTTTTAGTTTGAATTATTTATTTTGCATAAGTTCACATCTTGGGTCTCATTGTGTGAACCTTCAAAGTCTAAACACCAGATTACCCAAAAAAGTGTTAGTATTCCTCTCCAGTGAATGAGGACATGTTGCATGTGCCCTCTCTCCCCAGATGTACCATGAAACATTTTTAAAAATACTTCCCAGAGGTCTAAGAAAATAAAAGCAAGCTAAGGCGCAGATTGCTTGCGGGTACATTCTGCCATATTGTATTAACAAGAACCAGTACGTCTCTCTTCTGTTAAAAATATGTGGTCACAGGGAAGATTTTCCTACAACAATGGATGCAATAACAGTGCCACACTGTCCTTTATTTCCACAATCCCATGCCAGCATGTCTTTTGATAGTGCCTGCCAGGTCCACCTAGGTTTCTGCCTATTCTCCAGTAGCAGTTTCTCCAAGTGGCCGCAGGACATGCTAAAAGAGTTGATAGATTGAGAGGTGCTTTATTCTGAAGCTGTTTTCTGAAACATTTTGAAGCCCCAGAGAAAAGTAAAAGAGCTGAAAAGCACTACAAGAGGTCAGAGCATAGGTAGAGGGCTCACAATGAGGTGTCCTCACCTCTGGCTCTCCTGGCCCTGTGTGGACTAATTACCACACAAGTGATGCAGTCATGAGCAGTGATGGTGTCTCAGGTGGTTCTTGGGCCTCTTCCTCACCTGCACTGCATGGATTTTAGTAATGTAGGCCTCAGAACTCTATTAAAATTCTAGCTGCTCATGATTCCTTCTCTTTCCTCTTCACCTATAAGCCTGAAGAACTGCACAACAAAACTATTGGCTTTAGAATGAATGTGGCAGGCTCAAACCCACCCAAAAGAACTGAGACTGGAGTTTCACCAAAATGGGTTGCATCCACCTCAAAAATCTTCAGAATGCTCAAGAACTCAAGAACTATATACCTATAATTTGAAGGCATTTCCTGATGAAGTGGGATGGATTGGGAAAATGAGTCAGGGTGAAGAAGCTTATAGTGTTCTTCTTTCTTTCCTGAGGATGCTCTGGCACCCATGTTCACATTCAAAATAAAACTCCACTGTGGAGATTTTAGATCCGGGATGCCTCAGTTCTCTGATCTTGACAGCAACCCCCCACCCCCCACCCCCACACACACACTTATTAAGGAGACTGAGATGTAGCTTTATTATGTTTACCTGATAAACAAAGTGTGATGTTTACTAACCCTCTTTGCTAATGGGTCTTCCTGTCATTGTCCTCACTGCCACCATCCTCTGGAGTTTCCACAACTTGATTAACATATCTGGAGCTATTAATTCAGGCCTGTGCTGGGCAATTCTAGGCTCCAAAGAGAGACAAGACAGCCCCTCTCCAGGAGAACCTGCCCAAAAAACAAAAACTTACTATGCAATTCAATAAATGCTGGGGTAGAAAAATGATTAAGAAGCTATTATTAGTTTTCCACATATTTTTAAAAACTTTCAAAACACAGCAAACAACAACAAAAAACACATTAGAACAGAGCAGACCCATCCTTATCAGCCCATTCTCCTTTCTTAAGCATTCTTCTGCCCTCTGGGTGAGGAAGGGAGCTGGGAGTAGACTGGTTGGAGTTGAGAATCACTAAGTTAAACAAGACAGCTTTCTCCAAGCCATTTTTTAGCACAAACATTAAAAATTAGATTTAGTTCAAGTTGGCAAAATTTCATTCCAGTAGTTCAGGCTCTAACCTTGGGTCAAACTAAATAGGAAGGGGACCTTTAAATTGAGTTTCCGCAGACCCGGAGGAAAACAAAGTCTGTGCTGAGGCAGGTGCTGCTTTTGCTGTGGCATTCAAGGGTTCTATAATTCCAGAAAAGGTCAAGCATATAATTTCAGGAACAAGCAAGAAAATGGCCTGCATTTTCATCAGAAATGCGGGTATTTAGTATTTTCAGTATACCAAACTATAGACTCCCTGGGGACAAGCACCAGGTCTCACTCATCTCTGTAGCCACCAAAGCATCATGCTTATAATTGCTTGCTGAATAATTACATAGGGACATCCTCAGAGTTTAGTACAGGGGTCCTCAAACTTTTTAAACAGGGGGCCAATTCACTGTCCCTCAGACCATTGGAGAACCGGACTATAGTTTAAAAAAAACAACTATGAACAAATTCCTATGCACACTGCACATATCTTATTTTGAAGTAAAAAAACAAAACGGGAACAAATACAATATTTGTATTTGCATGTGGCCCACAGGCCATAGTTTGAGGACCCCTGGTTTAGTATATGTGGGAAGGCAGATACTTTATTTAAAGTTTTATGTCTTTACAAGTGTTTTCACTTACCAACTTAAAGCAAGCAGTTAAATTTTTATGGTATACATTTAGTCCTAACACCTTTTTTAGACTCATTTTCCAGTCTCAGGTACTCTCCTCTAAACATGTACTTTCAGTAATAAGGATTTTACTATGACTTTATAGTTCTTCCCTCAAGGAATCAAGAGAAAAATTTGAAGCTCATTGTCTGATATAAAATACTAGAAGCCCAGTGCATGAGATTTGTGCACTCGCAGGGTCCTTCAGCACGGCCTGCGGCCTCTCGGAGTCCAGGAGCCCTCAAGGGATGTCCAACTGAAGTTGGCAGTTGGACATCCTTAGTGCTGCCACCGAGGAGTTGGGAGGGGCTCCTGCTACTGCTGCTGCGCTTGCCAGCCATGAGCCTGGCTTCTGGCTGAGCAGTGCTCCCCCTGAGGGAGCGCACTAACCACTAGGGGGCAGCTCCTGTATTGAGCGTCTGCCCCCTGGTGGTCAGTGGGCATCATAGCGACCGGTCGTTCTGCTGTTCAGTTGATTTGCGTATTAGACTTTTATTATATAGGATGGGTAAATCTAATTGAGTGTTTAATCCTATTATGTGAGATTCTGTGTAGTGAACCCATAAGGTCCTTTTTCCTATTTAACCCTGGGACCACTATATCCTAGGCTTGTATGCATTTCCCACACAGCTGTAGGCTCAGACATAACTGGAGTGCTTGGAGTCCTGGGAGGGAATACTCCAGCTTCCTCCCTGGGGGATCCTGCTCTTTGCATTTCTGGCGATAGAAGAGATTCAGTCTTCCTGGATCCCATACCAGCCCTTTGCTTTGAGAACTTTAATGTTCCTCATTCCAGGAAAATAGAGGATGAAATGGCAAAAATAGTGAAATCCCCCCTCCTCACCAGCACTGTTCTGTCCATCCATCCACTTTGTAGAGGCACTGAATGGGAATGGAAGTGTCAGTTCCAGCCTCCTTCTCTTGGACTGCTGGCTTTTATTAAAACAGTCAGTTCCAAGAGTTCAGACTTGCCTACCACCAAATGGAACCTTTTAAACCAGATAAGAAATTCCTCATGGATTCTAATCTCAGATTTGTGTTATCATATTTTTTTAGTGACTCATGAAAAGCATAATCCAGCAGTACTTCAGCTTTTAGTTTTCCTCTTGATTCAGTTTTCTTAAATTTGCAAACAAAGTCTCCAGAAGCATTGTAAGAGGAGGCTACCTAAAGGGCCCCTGATTCTCCTATGATGAGAGGAACCCCTTTGTATGTGAATCATTTCTCTTTCTCATTTATTGTTTGACCACACATTTGAAATTTCTAACAATAAATCTTTCATTTTCCCTCTTACCAACTGAGGTGCTTTTTCTCCACCCCCTACACCATAACCTTGCTGATGTTCTGGTGTTTGTTTGGGGACATTGAACACCTAAGCCCAGCATTTAGCCAAGGCCAGCTCATGCTTTCTCCATATGGCCCTTCTGTACAGCTGTGGCCTGAAGAATCAACAAAGATTAATTCAACATCGACTTTGGGCCTCTTAATCCTTTTATTCATGAGGCTGGAGCAATTTGATTTCCTCTGGACACCTGCATCTCTGCAGAAAAGTCTCCCTGAGGAAGAGGGGTTTAGCTTCTCACATCTGAACTGAAAAGCCCTCTAGTGGAGAAAATGGGCTTCAGAGTGATTATTTTATTCTGGTTTTATTCACCAGATATAATTACAACAATTTGGTCAATATTTATTGTTTTCTGTAAGTCAGCATTATGCAGGGGACTGGAAGTGGAGTGGAAGTAGCATTTTTAGAAGCAAATGACGAGATTGGTTTCTAAAATGCCCTTGAAACACATTTTTAATGTCTGGCCTCTTAATCTGGTTATAGAAAAACACTCTCTTGCTCTAACCGTATAACTGGGAACCCTCCTCTCCTCCCCCCCTCCATCTTTCATTTTTTTGTAATGGAGATTTTAAAACCCTATTTTAAAAGTTTGTTCTTTATCAATCTCACTCACTGTATTCATTTGGATTCCTAAAATTGGCTTTTATCTGAATAGGAAAGGCTAGGCTGTCTTGGTTTCCCACCAGAAATGAAATGGCATTGCTTGTGAAGTAGTGGTTTATTATGGATTATTAAATATGCATTGTGTCCTTTGACAATAAATATGTGTTGTTTGCACTACAGTATCTTAGAAATGTTAATACAAGTTAGGAAGCTATTTAAAGGTATGGCTAAACCCTCCCTCCCAATCCCATCATGGAACCGGGGCAGTATTGGTTGGGATATATGTGAAGCAGAGACCCCAAAAGCTCAGAGTCCTGCTTTTAACACTGCAGTGTAGCTTTGGGAAAGTGAGTTGAACTTGGACTCCATTTTATTTCTGGGAAATGAGACAGCCATAAAAGGTCCAGAAGGTTACAGAAAGCTCAGATAACAGTTGTATCCCTTTCTACACCTTGATCATGTTATCCATGAATTCTCTAGCAAACCTTATAGGCTTGTACCTTGAACCAAAGTCTAAAGAGTGTGAACTTCTTCTTTATAGAGTTTTCAGTGTGATCATATGAGCCATACTTCATAGAAAGATAATCTCAAGGGAAACTGAAAAGAGGAAAGGCAGAAACTCACATCTGTTTTACATTCTAATCACATCACTTCAGAGGGCTGGGCAGGAGCAGGAGTTATGCAAGCCAGTAGTGATAGTAGTGGTTTCATTACAGGCATGGCCACATGAACAGCTCACAATGTTTCTATGCTAGCATATTTGTTGTCTTTATGCTCAATCCCTGAAAGTTTAAATATTTCTTTTAAATCTCAGAGGGAAGGTAAGGATAGGTGGGTGGGTGGGAAAAGAACCAAAGAACTTATATGCATATATGCTTAACCCATGGTCACAGACAATATGCGTGTGGGCTAGAAGGGGTCAATGGGGCGGGGGGGGGACGTGGGAATTTGTAATACTTTCAACAATAAAGATAAAATTTTAAAAAGTAAAATAAAAAAGGAAAAGATTCATTCACAAAATATTTATACCATGATTCAAGGTGGATGGGATAAGATATAAATCCTTAACAAGATGATTTAATATATCTGAAATTAAGTTTTTTTTTTTTTAAAAAAAAATCTCTCTTTGCAGGTCAACTGCTAGGGAGTATGCTCTGAAAATTATCAAGAAAAGCAAATGTCGAGGCAAAGTATGTATAAAGTTTATTCTTATGAAAATACAGGTATTCAGGGGATAGAAAGGAACAAAGCTCAGCTCCTAAATAAACATAAATTCACCCCCATTTGTTGCATTTTGGTGGAATAGAAAGTTATATACTAATTAGATTATAACTTTATTTTATAAATAGTCCTGGAATAAAAGTTAACTAAAATGGTTTGATGTTATTTTTGTTTCTTATCTTTATTTGCTTATTTGTTTACTTTTTCCCATTACTTTTGTAATCTTAATTTTCTTTCTATCCTTCTACATGAACTTATAGTTATTGTGATGGGTTCTGAAATTACAAGCATCATCTAAAAACCTTCAATATCTTTTGACAATTCTAGGCTATCTGAGTATCAGAATCTAAGATATACTCATTATATTTGACCAAAATACATGTCCCTTGAACTTCACATAGTAGAGTTTTTCTCATGTTGAGTTAGCTTCTCCCATGTTTGGATGTGAGTATTAAGATCACTTCTCCTTTGGACAGGAGCACATGATCCAGAGCGAGGTGTCTATCTTAAGAAGAGTGAAGCATCCCAATATTGTTCTTCTGATTGAAGAGATGGATGTGCCAACTGAACTGTATCTTGTTATGGAATTGGTAAAGGTGTGTATTTTGGGAAAAGAAATAAACCTGTTCAAGCAATCACACTTTTCTCTATCATACAGTTCTTTATTTCCTCTCATCAATATTCAGCCTCTCATTTCAATACATTAGCATCATGGTTAAGATTATTAATTAGAATTATACCAGAAAAGTTCAAATTCCAGCCTTTACCTAAATAGTTCCCTGACCTTGGGATACCTCTCTATGTTTCAGTTCCCTTATATGGAAAATAGTAGTACTTACCTAGGAGTGATATTGTGGGGATAAAAGGAATGGCTTCCACAAGTTTTTGTGACACAGAAAGTATTAGATACCAATATGATCATTGTTGTTATTGTTATAGTAGAAATTGTTCACTTTTCATGAATTACATCCAAATGTGTTACCTATTTCTATAAAAACAAGCTTTAAGCTTTAGTCACCAACATAATGGAAAAATAGCACAGTCCTAACAATAATGTGAATAGTCTACCACCTTTCAGTGAACGTTACCATCTCATCCTGTCACATAACTATATTTTTATTCTGTTAAATCATAGGATATAGAAATGGCTAAATGTTGATAATGATTGCATGTAAATGAAAGATGACTTGCCTATTTCCTCTACTTCCATATGTGAAATTTTTTGTAATTAGACTAAATATTGAATGTTTAGTTTTCATGTAGTTATATTTTTTCTCAAGTTGTATTTTTCTCAAGTCTTTTGTATTGTGTTAACCTAATTGGTGGTGTAAGTAATTTCTACTTTAGTTGTGAAGTGTCGTAAATTAGTTGCACCACCTTCTGCATCAAATGTGTGTACCATCAGAGAGAGCCTAGAATCACACACTGAGCTGGTAGCAGAGATCAGCACTGTGGTATATGGGATTTTCTTTTGTAAAGATTTAAGACAAATAAAGCATTTAATAAACTAACCTGTTAGTATATAAGAAAATGTTCATTCTAGAACCTTTAAATTTTCATTGTTCAAAGTTGCTTTACTTTAGATATATTGGTATTTTTTCAACTTAATAGTTATTTATATTTATAGATGGAGCCTATTTTTTCTATTTCAGGTTAGGACTTGTTTCTTACAGAGGGCTTGTTTGCATTAACACAAGATTTTTGTCACATTTGAGGCTGAGGGAGATAAAAATATTAAATGGTTATTCCAACAACTAAAGGTTGATTTCATTTAGCCAGAAGATTTTTGTATTGGCACTGTATAGCCAAATAAAGTTTGGTGGTTACCAACATTGGAAATTATACTTTTTCGAGCACCAGGGATAGTATTTTTATAATGATGTTACTTCTGAGATAAAAAAACTTCAAATAATTCCTGTTGCCCCCCTGTGTGCTATTAAAAATTGATCAGCCTGACACTCTCAGGGGCCCCTGTGATCAGCACTGGTGGAGCGTGTGGTGGTGGAGGGTGGCCCAAGTTTGGCGGCTCAAAAGCTCCAAAAAATGTTACTGCATTGCTTCCTGCTCTTCCTCGACCCCAGGACCTTGCTTCTCCCTCTAGGAGTCTAAGGAACCCTTCTGGCCTCCAGCTACTATCTGTCCATCAGGTCCGCATGGGTCCCTGATAACAGCTTCCTGGTCTTCTTTCCCTGTCCACCCAGGGCTTGAGCTTGAGTAGAGGAGGGGATATTTAATTTTATTAACTTCCCTTTCCTCATCCCTGCTTTTCAACCTTCATATCAGTTCCCAGGCTGGATGATTTGGGCAAGACTCATGACTACCTCCATTGCAATTCTATTTTCTGATGCAAGTTTTAGCTAAGGGATTTAGAAGCTTTTTGAGGAGAGGCAGGCTGGCAAAAAGTATAGCAGTATAATAAAAAACCATCAACTTTCCTGGGAAGGAGGGATTCTAAACTTTCTTTTATCCCCAATTTCTACCTCCATAGACTATCCAGGATTTAGCGTCAATGAGAGATCTGGAATGGTCGACATGATTGAAACTACATACCATTTCAACCCCCAATAAATTATTTCTCACACTTTTTTTCCAGCACTTAATTTAGGAGCAAATTTCACTCTACCCTTTTAACTGCCAAGCTCCTTTCCCCTTTGTTCAGTGGAGTTCCTTTTGTCAGTTTCCATCCTCTCTTCATGTCTTTGGTTCTATTTGATGAACCCTGATGGGAGCAGGATTTGAGTCCCCAGGAGGAGAGCCTTGGGTATCATCTATTTTTCTAGTAATCCTTTGCCTTCTGTCATTTATCAGTCTTTGTCCTGTGCTTTGATGGTCCAGGTTAATTTACATTCCTGGGGCAAAGGGAAGTTGTGTTGTGTTGTGGAAATAAAAAGTTTTATTTGCAAAAAAATACACAAAAACTCATTGACCTAGTTTTATGCAACTATAACTAAGTTAAATTTGAAGATGAGACATAAAAGAGGCAAAGGCTTAAGAGCTTAGAACACATTTTATGGGGAAACTTGTTATGTCAATTATATAGTCTGGTGACTATAACTAAGGAGGTCCTTGTGTCCTTAACAGACTTTGTGAACTTTCCCATTGGTGTCCAAGACAGCCTGACAAAGCCAGAGAGTATCTGTAGAGTACCATTAGGTAAGACCCTTACATTTGACCTGACCCAGAACTTCTGTGAGGTCAGGTCTGGAAGTTAAGGCCAATCCCAGGTTTGACCCCTGAGAAATTTCACTGGGGCCATGCTTTTAAGAGTCCAGTGGTGTGCTAAAGAGTGATGCAGATATAAGAAAAACCAGGTCTGAATTGCAGAATACAGTGAAATAACTATTATTAAAAGTCAAATCCAGCCCTTGCTGGCTACGGCTCAGTTGGTTGGAGCACTGTCCTATATATCAAAGGTCACAGGCTCAATTCCCAGTCAAAACATGATGTTTCTCTCTCTCTCTCTCTCCCTCTCTCCTCTCCTTATTCTCCCTCTCCCTCTCTCTCTCCTTAACTCTTTCTCTAAAATCAATAAAAAAGCATATCCTTCGGTGAGGATTAAAAAAAATTTAAATTAAATTCCCTAATTATTAACAACAGGACTTTACACCATTGCCTGTAGCAGTGTGCATGAGCAAACTGCTTATGTGCACAGAGGAAGGCAAGCCTTGTGGGGGAAGGTGGCCCTAAGAATTCAACAGGAGTTAAAAAGACAAAGGGAAGCCGGCCTCATGGCTCAGTGGTTGAGCTTCAAAGTATGAACCAGGAGGTCATGGTTGGATTCCTGATTGAGGCACATATCAGGGTTGTAGGCTCAATCCCCAGTGGGGGCCATGCAGGAGAGCACTAATCAATAACTCTCTCTCATCATTGATGTTTCTGTCTCTTTCTCCTCTCCCTTTCTCTCTCTGAAATCAATAAAAAATATAATTATAAAAGAAAAAAAAAGGACAAAGGGAGTACAGGGGACATTCCAGGAAGGGAGTTCTAATGAGGACAGTTTTGGAGTACAGAGTGATCTGGGCTTGTTTTGGTGACCAGGGATCATGAATATCTCTAGGTGACAGGAGATGAGTTTAGATAAGTTAGAATGAAGGTCGGGCAGTACATGGAGAGCTATGGGAAAGAAATGCTGATTCCTTGAAGAGAGAAAGAAAATCCATATCAATAATCATCTGTGAAGGTGGCAGTCAGTGCACAGGGTTCTTTGGGTACAGAGCCCATGGAGGCAGTGCAGGTTACCTGGCCACATCACAACAACCCAGGGATGAAAAACATTCATTCAGAAGGATGTGAACCAGGCATGCCTTAAAGGAAGGGTTGGTTAGCTTTATTGACTGCTTTGTTGAGGATGAAGAGGAAATGAGATTATAGGATGCCTGGAGCCTGGATAATTAAGAAAAGAGTACAGTGATTGTGGGCCACCATATACAGCCTCACACATAGACAGCAGTGGAAACTCCACCTCCTGGAGTGGCATGGAAACAACTTGCAAACCCATTCATAGCAGGCTTGCCTTGAGAGAAACGGAAAGTCCAGAAAGAAAGTGTTCATTTTGAAAAAAAAAAAAATGCATGTGTTTCAAAACTTTGGGTACTTTTGAGGCTGACTGAACAGTGAGAGCCTCTTGAGTAGAGATTGTACAGGGCAACAACATAAGGCCAGGTCGTACAGAGAGATTTGAAAACTGTTAGGCTATGAGTGCTATATCCTGCTTTTGCTATTTAAAAACAAAAATTAAGTTCCAACTATGCCAGGTAACAGATGAGCACAGTTGGAGACTATGCTCAGCTGTTTGGTGCATTGTATGACGCAAGAAGGATGAAAACACTGCTAATAAATCAGTTCCACATTTTCTGACCCGGTTCAAATAAATGGAACTAAAATTGGAGCCTAAAATCATTATTTTACCAAATAACAATAAATTAACAGGGAACAAGGGAAACAAAAGTTCAGGTGAGTAATGGTCTTAGCAAACTTTCTTTGAAATTTCTCCACCCTCTTTCTTTCTCATTTTTGGGATGACAGTTTCTGGTCCTTTTCTCTGTTTCTTACAAAAAAGGACACCATTAAAAAAGAAAACACTACTACCACCCCAAGAGAGCTAAATCTAGAGTAAAAGGAATTATGTATGTGTGAGTGTGTAATTTTCACAGGGTAGAGGGTGTGGTTTGCAGTATTACCTGTTTCTCATTTGGGGTGGTAGGATTATGAATTTGAACTTCTGCTGGGAGTTGGTATAAGGCAAGTACCACACACCACAAGGACACCCAGATGTCACAAAGCCTCCGCCCTGGAGACCCTGCATTGCCCCTCCATGCTGGCTGAGGCCCATGAAAAGGTTGCAATTACACAGGGGTGGGCAAGAGTCCTCACCCTGCTTCTTACTCTGAGCTCTGGAGGAAATGGCTTTTGCAATGGAAAGAGAAATCACCATAAAGTCTCTGGGCCTTTGAAAGGAAAGTGGCAGGGAAAGCCCTAGGAACCCAAAGGTCCTGCATGTGTTCACCGTGTTCTTTATAATGTATCAGTCCTTCTTCAGGGCAGCTTCATTGGACCATCTGCTAATGTGCTGCTCTGCCTGCTGCTCTCTTCTCAGGGAGGAGACCTCTTTGATGCCATTACTTCCACGAACAAATACACTGAGCGAGACGCCAGTGGGATGCTGTACAACCTGGCCAGTGCCATCAAATACCTGCATAGCCTGAACATCGTCCACCGTGATATCAAGCCCGAGAACCTGCTGGTAAGAGAAATGCAATTTCAGGGCATCTTGAGTTTCAAGCACTTTTTTTTTTTTCTATTTTCTTTTCTCTCTTAAAAAAATACCTTAAAGGCTAGTATTCAGCTGGTCTTCAGTAACTATTGGGAAACTAATCTTTTATGTTGATCTATAGTGATTAATGTGCCATTAGGAGCACTCATATTTGCAAATGAAAACCTGAGGCAGGAGGATGGGAACAGAACTCAGGGAGTCTAGGGACGTGGGCTAGTCTAGGATAGTGAGAGGAACATTTACATTTATATAATTTATCTACAGCACTTTTATGTTAGAAAGATTTATTTGGAAAAAAAAGAAGCACTTTAGTCTCCCAGATTTACATTCCAATTATACAAGGGTGGGCAAAAGTAGGCTTACAATTGTTCGTATAGGAAATAATACAGCCTGCCAGCATGCTTCAGTGGTTGAGCATTGACCTATGAACCAGGAGGTCACAGTTTGATTCCCAGGCAGGGCACATGTCCAGGTTGCAGGCTCAATCCCTGGTGTGGGATGTGCAGGAGGCAGCCAATCAGTGATTCTCTCTCATCATTGATGTTTTTATTTCTCTTTCTCCCTCCTCCTTTCTCTCTGAAATCAATAGTAATACAATAATTAATTCCGTGTTTCACATACAAACAACTGTAAACCTACTTTTGCTCACCCCTGTATGGTCTAAAAGCTAACGGAATAAATCATCTGAGTTTTTAAAAACACGAGCCCCTCAGCATAAAAGTAATCATGATAAAGACTGATTTAAAAAATCAGAGAGATTCTAACCACCCTTACAACTATTTGGTTTGTTTTTCATGAACCACCCTACCCCCCACCTCTCTGGGAAGATAGAGTTCCCCATGCAAGCAAATGAGCACTCTTTCAGGGTCTGTTGTTAAGGGAAAGTGTTGGAAAGAATTGAGAAGACAGTCTGGACATCAGAGAGCTGCCTCTGGTGAATATGGGAATAACAAAATTTGTGGGCTATTCAGGCTGGAATTTTAATGAATCCATTCAATCATCCCCTCCCCCAAGATGGTAGTTCTTCCTCTACTTCCATTATCCAACCCTAAGAGTCAAAGTATTATGTGACTGCTAGAGGTCCGGTGTACAAAATTAGTGCACGGGCGGTGGGGTTTGTCCCCTCAGCCAAGCCTGCACCCTCTCCAAACCGGAACCCCTTAGGGGATGTCCGACTGATGGTTTAGGCCCGATCCATGGTATTGGGCCTAAACCGGCAGTCGGACATCCCTCTCACAATCCTGGACTGCTGGTTCCTAATTGCTCACCTGCCTGCCTGCCTGGTTGCCCCAAAATGCCACCCTCTGCCAGGCTGATTGTTCCTCATTCCCTCTGCATGCTGGCCTGATCACCCCCAACTGTCCCCTTCTGTCAGCCTAATAACCCCCAGCTTCCCCCCCTGCTGGCCTGGTTGCCCCCAACTTTCCCCCTCTGCTGGCCTGGTTGCCCCATGCAGCCTGTTGTTCAGTTGTTTGGTCATCCCTCACTCACCCCCTGCCAGCCTGGTCGTAGGCAGCCATCTTGTGAGGGCATGAGGGTTAATTTGCATATTACCTCTTTATTATATAGGATTAACTTGCCTATCTCTTCAGAAATCTGGAAATTGAGGATTCTCTTTCTAAAACAGTGCTTCTCCAAGGGTGGTCTAAAGACCCCTACATCAGAATTACTCCCAGGTGCCTGTTAAAAATGCACATTTTTGTCCTGGTCGGTTTGGCTCAGTGGTTAGTTGGCTTGCAGACCTAAGGGTCTCAGGTTAAATTCCCTATCAAGGGCACATACCTTGGTTGCAGGTTCAACCCCCGACCCCTGGTCAGGGGTGCGAGTAGGAGGCAACCAAACAATGTGTCTCTCTCATGTCAATGTCTCTCTCTCTCTCTCTCTCTCTCTCTCTCTCTCTCTCTCTCTCTCTCTCTTGATCTCTCTCTTTCTCTCCCTCTCTATCCCTCTTCCCCACTCCCTTCCACTCTCAAGTGAGGATTAAAAACAAACAAACAAACAAACAAAACAAATAAAGAAAAATTCTGAGCCTTCTTGCAACCCTACCAAATCAGAATATGGTTACTGGTAACAGGGTACAGATGTGCCTTGCAGCAGGCTCTGCCGGATGATTAATATCAACAGAATTTAAAAGCAGATGAGCACCCCAACACTTGCTATACAATAAAGTCTGATAATATCTGTTGTGATTGAGAACTATCTATGAGTACATCTTGTGCTAAGGGCTTTATATTCATTATTTCATTGAATTCTCTCAAGAAGCATATGGGGGTAAATTCTATTACTATCCCATTTCACAGGTAAGGAAGCTGAGTGCTTAGGAGTTCAAAGACTGCCCAAGACCATAACAACTCATAAGTGGAGTACCAGTATCTTAACCTGGTTCTGCCCCTTTCTAAAGCCCAAGCTTTCACTGCTAGACTACATAAAGCTAGGAATAGACAGAGTGGTTTATGTCAGGCTAGCTATGTGCTCGGTTTTGTGTCAGGGAAGATGGGCATATGCCTTCATGGAAGTGACATCCAATTAGGAAAAATTCAAGAAATAAATACACAAGCCAGTAGTTCTTTGCAATTATGTTAGCAATCTTGTAGCCACTGACTAATAAAGGCAGCTGAGATCAAATGATGTAGATCTGACTTAATTGCACCTCAGATTCCACATGGCTGCAGTGGCTTAAACATTCGCCTCTGCATAACTGCCTCTGTAAACTGCAGCAACTTTCTTCCCATCTGCATTAATTATTCCTGAATTTTGTGAGATGGTCCCAAGGGAATAGACTTAAAACTGGGCCTTTGTTTAAAAACTTCTCTAAGCTCTGAAAAGTCAGTGATTGAAAATTAAAGCTTCAATTCCCTTCCCCCTTTTGCAGGTCAATTTTGCTTTTCACCAGAGTGTTATCTGTTTCTTAAATGCCAAAAATGATTATATAGAAGTGTTCTTTTACTAAAATTAAAATTTACAGAAGAGTTGTTAAATATTGTGCTCATTTCAATATATTTCAAATTACTCAAAAAGGAAAAAGGTTCTCTCTGTTTTTGTTTCCTAATTTAAGAATGTAAAATATATATGTACATGTGTGCATGTATACCAGGTATACATATATATACACACACACTCACGCCATTGTAGTAATTCATAATCTAGGTTTAAAATACATATGTATGAGAAACTAAAGCAATTCTGCTTCTACACAATAATAATTTCTTACTATAGGAGAGTGTTAAGGGTTGGTGAGGTTTGCAGTGATAAATCTATTATGGGATAAAATAGATAGAAATATAGAATAAGTTTAGCAAAATTAGGATAACATCACTAATTGCACTTGAGACTTCTATTAATTTCACATTTATTTACCTTTATGTGGAAAAGAGAGACCCATCATGGGAGGCACACATTCACATACTCAGGATTTATAGTCAGATGGAAAAAAGTTCAAAACCAAATGCATCACTCTTCCTCTGGCTTGTCTGATGACCTTGAACAAGTTACTTAACTCCTTTGAGCTCCCTTCAAGGAGATTTTATTAAAATAAAGAGATAGCACATAACTAACTATAAATTCCCTTTCTTTTTATTCTCCTTTTATTTCTAATAAAAGTAAATTACCCTTAAAATAAAATTTTAACAATAAAATTGTATAGTATAAACATTGTATTTTATCTTTATTGACATTGTTTTAAAAATTTCATTATTTACCAAGCATGGATTTGCTATTTCATGGCAAAATGTAGAGCTAAAGACTATTTTTGAAAAATGCTATAATAACTTTAATGTAAAGATTTTAAATCCATTTTCTTATTGCAGGGAAATTTACCAAAAAGTAAAAAGATCTCACTGCATACTTTTTTTTTTAATTTTATTTTTGCATACTTTTCATTGCTGTTTTATTCAGAGACCTAAAAAAACTTCCAAATTTTTAGACTACAAACAAGATTTTTGCTAGTTAAGTGCTTGTTATAACTAGCAAATTGTTATTTATAAATGTTAATTCAGTTATAGATTTCATTTTATGTAGTATCATTGTATAGACAGAAATTTAGAAATTTTATTTTTGATTCTTATAGAACAATTTAACACATTGTTTGCGGGTAGTTTTTATCGCGCGCTAACAGGTGGCATGGGCCATTTTTGCTAATTTTTTGCGCAAATGGCAACGTTCAGTAAAATTACGATAACTTTAGTTTTACATATTTTTTTCAATGAAAGTTTTTGTGATTTACTATAAAATGTATACTGAATTATTTTTCTTAGAATCGCACTGAATGCGTGGTGAGGCAGAGAATTGTGTGAAGGGATGACTCTACGTAGCTGAATAGATTACCGTTATACCTGGAAGTACATACATAATTCACCATTGTATGTGTTAGAGACCCACATTTTGTCCTTTGGAATTTGTATATCTGCATGTTAGCATCCCTTTAGAGCAATAAAAAGTATAAAAATAAACGTATTTATACGTTACCCGCATTATACCACTAGTCTATAAAAAACATATTAATACGTGTCCCGCGCTCTACTACCAGTCAACATAAAATGTATAAATACGTTTCCCGCATAAAATGTGTTAAAAATGTTGTAGCTTGGCCTTAAGAATCTATTGTGCTCATAGAAATGATTTGTTCAAGTCTAAGTATTTGGTCAGCTCAAATCATTTTAATGAGAACATATGATTTGATTTGTAGTGATGTTTCCAGCCACATTTTTTAAAAATATATTTTATTGATTTCAGAGAGGAAGAAAGAGAGAGAGAGAGAGAGAGAGAGAGAGAAACATCAGTGTGAGAGAGAATCATTGATTGGCTGCTTCCTGCACACCCCCCACTGGGGATGGAGCCCCCAACTTTGGCATGTGCCCTTGACTGGAATTGAATCCAGGACCCTTCAGTCTGTAGGCCAATGCTCTATCCATTGAGCCAAACCAGCTAGGGCATTTCCAGCCACATCACAGGTGAAAATTGGTAACTGAAGC